TTTTCAGAGATCAATGCAACATGCAGGTATTTGTGTAATCGTTAATACTGTTTGCCCAGCAGATCAATGGACGCTGAACGTCCAGCTTGTCTTAGCTGACAAACTGGCCTAGAGGAGCATTAGACTCCTAATGGTCAGTTACTTTAATCCTTTAAGTATTAAAAGAAAATTCCATTATGAAAGAATGTTACCAATTTAAAATGTGCCACAATGGACATGCAAAGAAGAGTAGAATAGTGAATAGTGTGGCTGTCTCATAAAATCTTTCCAACTGGCAAACGTCTGGACGGACAGACAACTCAAAATATTGGCAGTTTGTTAATCACACCCCAGCTAATTTTGGTGACAGTGGCAACAATAATGTAAGTCATATTGCTGATGGCAGGGAAGCTCGTTCTGGCTGAACTCGTGTTCAGCTAGTGTTACAGCTACACTAAGCACAGGAGGACCGACTCTGATCCACTGTAGTGAAAATATAGGCTAAAAAATATACACTTAAATCAGCTTCACGCAAACTTGTGAAATGCAGACCAGTATCAAAGTATATTGTAAGGCAGACCGTACAATTATATATAGAGAGAAAAACCCAAAAATTATATGACCCTCTATGAGCAAGCACTTTGGTGACGGTGGGAAGGAAAAACTCCCTTTTAACAGGAAGAAATCTCCAGCAGAACCAGGCTCAGGGAAGGGCAGCCATCTGCCGCGACCGTTAGGGATGAGAGAAGGAAGACAGGACTTTTAACTATGAATCCTCTACGTCACAGGTGTCGAACTCCAGGCCTTGAGGCCCGGTGTCCTGCAGGTTTTAGATGTGTCCTTGATCCAACACAGCTGATTTAAATGGCTAAATGACCTCCTCAGCATGTCTTGAAGTTCTCCAGAAGCCTGGTAATGAACTAATCATGTGATTCAGGTGTGTTGACCCTGGGTGTTATCTAAAACCTGCAGGACACTGCCCCTCGAGGCCTGGAGTTCAACACCCCTGCTCTATGTAGTTCATGCTAGGTGTTCAATAACTCACATTTATTACACAAAAAGGGTGCAGAAATTCTCTGACACAAAAATAAAGTTCTCATGCAATCAATCAAATAACTGAAATGGACTTTATGGTTTCAGAATGTAAAATATAATTATAAATATAATATAGAACAAAACCATTTAGATAAGCAAAGGGAAAATGTAGCATTACTGATGCAACATTTACAAAAAGCTCAGCAAGGCCAATATAACACAAAGCTAGATTTTATATTGAAAGGTGTTACAGGTTCAGGCTGTAGCACAACACTTTGCTTAAAAACATGGGCTGACATCTCCTCTCTGCCTATTCCCTCAAGAATTTTTCTCTATCTTTATCACTTTCTTTTAACCTCTGACCACAAACATCTATGTCTTTGTGACTACTCCATAAGCTGCTTTTGACCTAATCTACATCACCTTCTTTTGGTCTGGATTTTCTTATACATTACATACACAATCATACTCACACAAACAAACAAAAAAAAGCTCAGTCTTTGAAGCATGCGTCATCCTGATTGAACCACAGCGCCGATTACACATCAGCGTCAAAACAAATCCTCCTGACAGGATGCTGTTTCACTGTCCCTGAAAAAAATGTCATTTCAAAAGCAGAGATATAACACCATTTTGTAAAAGCTGCATTTATTACAAATAAAGGCCCCCCCCCCCCCCCCATTTTTGAATTTGAATACATGGGAACAAATGGCTGAAAACTGCAAAAGTACAATCAATTTGAGGATTTCAACTACAGCGCCTGAAGTCCAAAGCTTTTCACAGAAACGCAAGATCAACTTAAATGTGTAAACAAACTCGAGAAGTGCAGGCATGTTAATTGGAAACTGCCTCATTGAAGATGACCTGAGGCAAAGTTAAAAACTGCCCTATGGTCTCTCCAGTGCACATTTAAAAAGTATTTTTGAAACTTAAACATCTGCAAAGACTCCTTTGGATGTTAAAGTATGGTCCCATTCAAAGTATAATGTAATTGAAGACAGTCTTTTTAGCTTTTGTTTTTCCAGACAAAAGCCAAAAAGTGTTGTTTAATAAACAATAGATTTTGTCCATTTTGAATAGATTTTCTTGAAGCAAGTCAAAATAGTACTCTTGTATGGCCCCCACATCCTTGTATGCATGCCTGACAATGTTAGGGCATGCTTCCAGTGAGACGATAGATTGTGTTCTGGGGGATCCAGATACGGACAGTGTTGTGGAGTAACGGAATACATGTACCGCCTTTACGTATTTAAAATACAAAATATGAGTAACTGTATTCCGTTACAGTTACCGTTTAAAAAGGTGGTATTCAGAATACAGTTACTTTGTTGAAATAAATGGATTACACTGCGGTACTTTCCTGTTTCATATTGTCGCGGGTCAGGACTGTTTGGGTTTTGTTTGACAGCTACGTTCTGTTGTTCCAGGCGGCAGCGTTACGGTTGCCATGGTTACAGGGCGACGCTCTCTCTCTCTCTGCGACTGTGTGTTTCCTGGGTGAGAGAGCGCCTTTTCGTTGTTGTTGTTGTGCTAAGCTAACAGGCAGAATGCTACAAGCATAGCTCTAAAGAATGTAGCATCATGGGCAGTGTAGTCCGTGTTGCAGGGAGAATGGACTGCCATACACGTTATGTGTCTGTGAGCGCGAGGAGGGAGAAAAAGGGGAGTGGAAAGGTACGAGTTGTCATCGAGCAAAAACGGGAGCTGGAAGCATGTAAATATAATAATAACCACTGCAGCCAAGAAGAGTGCCTGACGAGCCCAGTTGTAAGTAAGCTATTAAGACTCGACTGTACACCGTGTTCGTGTTTTCCTCCGAAAACAATAAGTTCCGTTGGAGCAGCCTTTCAACGCCTCTCTCTGTCTCTCGCAAGAAAAGTTGACCCACACAACAAAGTAAAGCTATTTTTCGGCTACGAGCCGACAGGGACCCCGCCGTATTAGTCAGAGGTCCCTTTACTACAGTTCGGAGTCGCGGACCTTCAGTAATAGTAATAAATCACACAGCAATAGTACATTCACGTTGTTGTAAAAAGCATGATAATATATTAAGTAATCCAAAGTATTCAGAATACGTTACTGTCATTGAGTAACGTAACGGAATACGTTACAGAATACATTTTGGGGCATGTATTCTGTATTCTGTAATGGAATACATTTTAAAAGTAACCTTCCCAACACTGGATACGGACTAGGGCATTCCTGAGCCCCTGGACAATCTGAGGTGCAACCTGGCGGTGTTGGATGAACCCAAACATTATGCCCCAGAGGGGTTGTATTGGCATTAGGTCAGGTAAGTGTGGAGGTCAGTCAGTGGTATCAGTTCCTTCATCCTCCAAGAACTGCCTGCATACTCTCATCATATGAAGCCAGATATTCTTGTTCACCAGGAAGAACCCAGGACCAGCATAGGGTTTGACAATGGGTCCAAGGCCTTCATCCTGATACCTAATGGCAGTTTGGGTGCTGTTGCTGAACCTGTAGAGGTCTGTGTGTCTCTCCGTGTATATGCCTCCTTAAACCATCACAGACCCACCACCCAACCGGTCATGCTGAACAATGTTACAGGCCGTATATTCTCCACTGTTTCTCCAGATCCTTTCACATCTGTCACATGTGCTCATAGCAAACTTGCTCTCAACTGTGAAAATACAAGATGCCAGTTGTGAACTTGCCAATTGTTATATTCTGTGGCAAATGCCAGTCAGGGAGTGAGCACAGGATGCACTAGAGGATGTTGGGCCCTCAGGCCACATTCGTGAACTCTGTTTCTGATTGTTTGGTCAGAGACATTCATGCTAGGGACCTGCTGGAGGTCATTTTGTAGGGCTCTGGCAGTGCTCATTCTGTTCCGAAGCAGATACTGGCCCTACAGGTCGTTGGTCATTACATATTGATACAAGTATTATTACTTGATGTTGTAGCCAACTCTTAAAAGTCATAAGAAATGCTGTAAAATGATCCCTGAGCTCAAGACAAAAAAATAAACAATTCCTAAAACACACATGGGGATCCTCCCTACAAAGTTCTTACAAAACTATTAATCCTTGTTTGAATCACAGTGCAATTTTACTGGTCCTTAAGTGTTACGCAAGGAGATTTAATCATCTGAATACATATGCCACGATTAGAGGACAGCACACGAACTCTCCCTGAACCAACACAGTTGATGTGAATCAAACAGTTAAACTTTCACTTTGGAGCTAACTTTGTATTTCATCAAAACTATCCCAGCTGTCAAGTCATGAATTAGCATATGCATGCTACATCATCTTAATCATAGATGAGTGATACAGATCCCATCATTTACAGACAACTGCCACACCTATGGAGGCTTACACTGGAAAATGTAAAGTAGCAGAATGAAGAGTGACATATGTGTTCAGTAAACTGAGGAGAAACCGAGAGATGGCAAGAACAGAAAGAGAGAAACCGCACGCTTGACTATCTTCACATTGGTCTTAAGGGAGCTGAGCTACATCCTTCCCGGAGTGTCCTATCCGGCGAAGGCTAATGAACACCTTTTCCCAGTCATTCAGTGCATGCATCATTTCAAAACTGGACATCATGGGAGACAAAACTTTAACAGTTGCTCTTTTCCCCCCTCAGGGTTCTAAATGGGTGCACTTAGTGATTTGCTGCTGCAAAATGCTCCAGCTAGAACTGACTCAGAACTAAAAATTACACACTAAATGTACCTACACTGGCAGATGTTGTACAAGTCACCCTTCACGTATTTTTTCTTCATCTACAGGCTTTCCTTGCAGATAGCAGCACAAAATCTATTCAAATTCAAACACTGTAACACTAGATTTAAAAACTGTATTTATTTTAAGCAATTACTTTACATCGAAAGGTATAACAGGGATCACAACATGAAGTCAAAACATAAGCAGCTTTCCAGCCAGTGTGGATTTCAATGTCAGACTATTGCAGCAGCCTTATGTCAAGTTCTGTATGTGTCACCTGAACCTTGCAACACTCACCATCCTTGCGGTGGTAGGTGATCTCCACTTTGCGCTCCTCGGACCCCAGCAGTGCCTGGGCCACCTGGGCCACAGCGTGCCGACTGGTGAACTGGCCATGCAAGAAGTCACAAGTGCATGGCTTCTGCATTACATCTGGCCTGGAAAAGCCCGTCATCTCGCAGAAACCATCATTACAGTAGATAATAGCGCAGTTCTGCACCCGGGCATTGGCTATGATGAATTTCTTATCTGTGACGAGGCAGAGAAGAAATTGGGGGAGAAAGAGTGTTACCGTGTTTCTAGATGTAATTTTAAACTATTTGCACATAAATAAGAATATTAAAAAGTATAACAAATGTTTTATTTAACTAATACAAGTGGGTGTATTGGTTTGTATGGGATTATCCAGAATTACAGTCCTGAATGCTATTCAGCTGACTGAATAAAATTATGAAACTTCACATGTAGGTGGGATTGCTCTAGACAATAAGCATGTTCAGTAAATCCTTAGTAGGCTTAAATACTCCACTTTCTATTAACGAGGTGGCGTTAAATTTGACATTTTTTTAAAACAACAATGTGGAGAGACAACTGATGCACATTTTTGAGTTGTAAAAACCAGATTTGAGGCATAACTGAAACCCATTTTTAAAAGCGTAATTAGCTAAATTCATATATGGGGGATATAATCTGTAATTAATTACGTTAATCCTTTAATCCGTGTATATCACATGCAGCATTTTAAACTACATTTCCCACCGGAGCAGGAGAAAATGAGAAGGACACCAGAACTAAACAAACCTGGTGCGCGATAACACAGTATGGTAATTGACTCATAATGAGTTTCATGGACTTCTGGCATTAACATCACAGGGTTAGCCATCCAAAGCCTTGCTGGTGTATAAAAGGCCTATTCCTAACAATAACTGATCTCGAGGAGCAGCGGGACAGACACAAAAGACAAGCAGCACAGCACAGTGCACCCACACAGTACCTGACACCCAGGAAATCTACTTACTTTGTCCTTCGAATTTCCGAATAATTACTCCCAAAAATGTGTTTTGTGGCGCAACATGACCCCTCCGGACAGGCATGGTTCCCCTTCCAAAAATAATAATAATGATGGAAGAAAAAAATCTTTGTCTGTCCAAGTAAGAGCACACCGGTCCCCACAAAAATGTCTTCCGTAAAGTTATATAGCGGGTGTCAACCGAAGCCAGAGGGGCTCCCCGTATTCTTTGTCACCAGTCAGTCATCCTCGTAAAAAAAAATAAAAAAAAATAGCCCCAACCAACCGCTTTCCGGTTTTCTTACCCAAGCCCCAATGTTTCCCTTATTTCAACTCCGACGTGTCCCCCGTTGAGCGCATCGCAGAGGCTTCCCTGCGCTCCTCGCCGACGTGAAGCTAGAAAGAAAGAAAGAATCGGCAAACCGCAGTTTAAACATTTCACCGTCGCTCCTCGAAAGCACTGCGCGCTTTTTGTGTCTGCGCGTGAGCAGAAGGCGCGCGTGCGTGCGTGCGAGCGAGCGAGCAGGGGTCTATTGTTGTGAAGGGAAGACGGATGGTCTCTGAGGCCAATGGCTGAGAGGCGTAGCACCGACACTGCGACGGGAGAACCCACAAGGATGCGCAGACAAAGCAGCAAACGTAGAGATGTTAGAGGCGAGGCGGAGAAGTAACGGATTACTGTAACACCTTCCAGTGTGGTTAGACGCATCATTTCATGAGTAGGCTTTAGTTAAGTTAGCACAGAGTAGACACAGCTCGTACTTTTAGCTGATACACGCCTAAAGGCGAATTATTATCGACATTTTCAATATTCAGTTTTCCTTTTTATCTGTCTTATCACAGCTGCTACATTTATTGTAGACTTTATGAGCGCAAGCTAGCTTAACTTTGCCTGCTTGAATAAAAAAACAAACAAACGGATTTTTACTGAAATGACTTATCTTATTTTGGTTTGCAACATGACATCGAGTGAGGAAATACGTTTTGACATAGAATCATTTTTTTTCTTTGTTACTTTTTCTGAGTCGCAAGCCCGACAGCGGCAGTGGGAGGCTGAGATCAGGGCAGCCGACGCAGGTGTATTTTATTCAAAGAGAGCGCTTGGCCACCACATATCTCCCCTTTCCGCTTTTCCTGTAAAACACCGTTTGCATCCAAAATGGAGCAAGGATCCGCTGTCACTGCCTCGGCCAGGCGCTGGCCATGGTGCTGCTGTTGCGGCGTCTCACATTTCCGCCCGCTGCTGGTTTCAGTAACTTTTTTTGAATGAAAAGATTCAGCCTTTGTTGCTGCCTTGTAACGAACGTAATACACTGTGTAAAAATTAACAACAACAAAAAAAAAACCCCAACAATAAAAAAGATAATATTTCCCATTCAAGCAGTCTACACTTAGTTGCTGTAAACTCTCCTTAGAATGCAACAGCTTACTTGAGGTCAAATAATTACTCTCTCTTCCAAAATTGTGCTTTCTGGCAGAGATTTAATAGTATATTCTGCACATTAGCAGTACTTTCATATGACTGAATGTTTTATTATTGAACTATTATTTGTTTACCATTAACAGCATTTTTCTAGCTTGTTGGGTGGTTTCTTTTTTTTCATTTAAAAAAAGCAACTTATCTTTTCAATGCCATTTTCACATTCAAATACACAAAGAAGATAACAAATAACAGTAGACTGAAATAAAAAAAAACCCACATAAATTTGAGTGACTTTAGCTAGCATTTCATGTTATTTACATGCAAATTAGGGCTCAGGTGATAGAACGGGCCATTTAGTAATCTACTAATACTGCTAATGAAGGTCAGCAGTGTGATCCCTAGCTCTTCCAGTCTGCAGGCTTCCAGTGTTCCTAAATTGCACCCAGTGTATCCATTATAATCGTCTGGGCGTATAGTGAAAAAGCAATTAAAGGCATGGAATTAAAGTGCTGCATGAATTTGTGTGGTATGAGTGGATGAATGTGGCATGTAGTGTTTAAAGTGCTTTGTAGTGCTCAGTAAAAATAGTTAAGAGCCATTTAAATAGTAATCTATCACATATGAACTGGTAACATGTTTATATCAGTTGTTCTATAAATGACATTTATTAGGTCATATATGTGCAATCTTAATCTACAAACCCATAGCTATAAAATTAAAGTAGCATTTATTGTATAAATGTGCTTTCAACCACAATTATCTATATTTCTTTTGGAGAATTTGCACTAGATCTCCTACTGATCATTTAATGAACTACACCAACATGAGCTAGCAGGTTATCTATACCGGGGGTCTTAAAATGCTCTTGTTTCCTTTTATTATCTTTCCCCCCCTTGGTCCACTTTCCTTGCAGATTCAATTTATTCACTATGTCTCCTTCAGTGTTCCACTCAGACACGCACAGGCAAATAAGCACTCCCATACTCTAGTGGAACATCTGTCCTGCTCCATCTGCTCCATTGAGAAAATGATTCACAATTCAATAGACATGGTGGGGAGGGGAGTTGCAGAGACTGCAGACCATGTTGCTTTTGCAGACTTTTATTTCTCTCTTATTCCGCTACTCCTCCCTCAGTCTGTATCTGTTACAGAGCGAGTAAAACTCTCCCTTCACTGAAACAGTGAAGGTAAGGCCTACCCCTGCCATAGTCACAATCCCATCCATTCATCCATCCATTCGCTTTCGCTTATCCTTTTCAGGGTCGCGGGGGGCGCTGGAGCCTATCCCAGCTGTCATAGGGTGAGAGGACAGGACAGGTCGCCAGTCTGTCGCAGGGCCAACACACAGGGACAGACAACCATTCGCACTCACATTCATTCGCACATTGTGACAATTTGGATTTTCCAATTAACCTATCCCCACAAGCTGCATGTCTTTGGACGGTGGGAGGAAGCCACGCAAACACAGGGAGAACATGCAAACTCCACACAGAAAGACCCCGGCCTGATGTTGGAACTGAACTCAGGACCTTCTTGCTGTGCGGCAACAGTGCTAACCACCGTGCCACCGTGCTGCCCACACAATCCCATTTAAAGAAAATGCAGTGTTTGTTAGTTTGTATTCCAGCTCTTAACTTGCTCAATGAAATGACAAAACAAAATTTACATAAAAATCTGAGGGCCTTTTTTATTCGTGTTTCCTTCTAGATGATCACCATCTTCTTCTTTCGACTGGTCCCTTTAGGTGTTGTCACAGTGGATTATCTGCCTCCATCTCACTCTGTCCCAGGAACATCATGCAATCAAAAAATCAAAAATAGGTATTCCCCAACAAATTGTGTGGGGTTTCTGAAAGTTGCTAAGAGTTATTGTGATTTCCAATTCATACAGGTCTAGTGACTGGTCAGTGTACCCCTGGTAATGGGATAGGGAAAGGTCTTGTATCTGTTTAAAAAAAAAAAAAGATGTGCATAACATTTTTAATCAATTTCAATCATTTTATCGTAAAATGAATTGAATTAAAAGTTTAAAATTGAAAATGAGATTATGATGGCTGCAGATACTGGTGTTTGCTGTTTAATGGCATTAGCTCAGCTTTTAAAACAGTGGATCAGAGATAGGTTACAGCATTTAGTTTTTCCATCAGAAGATTATTGCCTACCACTTGGAGAGTAGCTGGTGAGTTTCTGCAGACAAGTTAGCATCTTCATGAAAGTTACAGATGACTGCAACAAATCTTCTAGCACAAGGAGGTTTTTGGCACAACACCACAACTGTGGGGCTCTGGCCCTGTGTGAGTGAAACCTTACATAGGTAAAAGGGTGGACTGCTACTTTATCAGTTAATACTAGCAAGCTTGGTTAGCATGCTGCTTTCATAAACTGTGGTTGCAATGCAGACACAACAACTCAGCCATTTAGTGCTAAATAACTGAGTAATAACATGGGGACATTTGACTCAAACATTTAACACAAATGTTTTGAATAGTCACTACCACACAATAAGCTAGCTTCAGGGATCACCCGAAATCTTGTAAAGCATCGTGTAAACCTTGCTTTACAAGGAAGGATCCAGGCCTAAATACGTGCTTCATCAAAAGGGAATGCTTTAAGCCTGATCTTGAAAGTAGAGATGGTGTTTGCTTCCAGAATACAAACTGGAAGCAGATTCTTTTATTTTGTGGGGATTTCAGCCTGCATTGTCTGTAGTGGGTGTTGACCTCATTCTAGGCCAGGGGTGTCCAACTCCAGGCCTCGAGGGCTCGAGGGTGTCCCCCAGGTTTTAGATGTGTCCTTGATCCAACACAGCTGATTTAAATGGCTAAATTATCTCCTCAACATGTCTTGAAGTTCTCCAGAGGCCTGGTAATGAACTAATCATTTGATTCAGGTGTGTTGACCCAGGGTGAGATCTAAAACCTGCAGGACACCGGCACTTGAGGCCTGGAGTGGTACACTCCTGTTCTAGGCAATGATTTTGCATGCAGTTGTCTTTGGGCAAACGTGTCATCATCAAACGTGGTCGCTTTTCAGCTCAGCTCAGATCAGGTAGAAAGTGTAGTCTGTCCTTACACTTAACTGGCCTGTGCTGTTACTCAGGCTATTGAAATTAGAGAATTTCAATTGGCATTTCATTCAATGAGTTCGAGTATGACCAGTACTCTTTCCTCTAGTGAGGAGCTCGAACAAGGAGTAAGACAATTCTCTACTCATACACAAAAAGATGTGAGTGGGGAGACTTTAACTTAGGCTTGACTCCATTAACAACAAACATCCACCCTCTTGAGCCTCCCAGAGCATGAGAAGATAATGAATTCCCATCTATAGACAAACTTTTTCATCAATAGAAAAAATAATTTTCTCCTTCACTGTTAGAAGTAAATTATTTTAAAGCAGCTTTGTCATGGAAAAATTAGGGATGCTGTCCACCTTTAAATAGCCCCCTTTCACTTTATGTGACACCAGATTGAAAGGTTAGGGTCTACACGGGGTTTATTTTCCATCTTTTGTGAGTCTAAGAAAGCTGACATGGGTTAATTACATGGACCACCAAGAAATTGGCAGTAATTTCCCCTGATGGTTGTAAAAGATCTCTATTACTATGAGATGGGGTTTTTTAAACCTCATCCCATAAGCTCTAGCTGCTGTAGCTGGTTCAGCAGTTATTAAATTAACCCAGAGCATCCTAATCCACTCAGTGTATGAACATTTATTTGTAAAGTATGCCACTCTACTTTGTCTTGATCCTTCTATTGGATATCATTACACAACAAGAAGAAGCAACACGTTTTGGGTTCTACACGTTCTTTATTACATTACATTCTTCTTCCTCTTCTTCTTTCAGCAGTCCCCTTTAAGAGGGTTCCCACATTGGATCTTCCTCCATCTCCACCCTATTTCTTGCAACCTATTCTGTCACCCCAACCCTTTGCATGTCCTTCTTCACTACTACTCTAACCTGGCAGCTCCACAGTCAGCATCCTTTGCATACTATATCCACTATTCCTCCCCTAACAAGAAGAAGAAAATAAGCTGTTCAGAAATCTAAAAAATGAGATGCACATGTGTTAACAAGAATATCTGCTATGGGTTTTTTGAAACATCAATCTGATGTTAGGGGGACTTGGAAAGGAGACATTAGAGAAAATGGCTGGGCTTTACAAACTGTGGCAGCATTCTTTAATGCACAGAACTTGCAATAATAATAATAATGGATTGGATTTATATAGCGCT